AAAAAAAAAAATCTTGAAAATGAGCCATGTGGGCAACTTGAGACCAAGAGGGATAGTGTTGAGCTGAAAAGCTGCAGTGGAAGCAAATCCATCTCAACCTAGGCATGAATTAGCAGCAATGTTTGACATTACTATTCCAACAATATTGGACCATTTGAAACAAATGGGCAAGGTAAAAAAAACTGGATAGATGGGTTCCGCATGAATTAAACCAGCATCAGAAGAGAAATCATCTCAAAGCTTGCCTTTTTTGCTGTCACAACATAAAGACAAACCATTTCTACACCATATTGTTACATGTGATGAAAAATGAATTCTTTTTGACAATCGCAAGCGTTCGGCATAATACAAAGATGAAGTGCCGAAACACAGTCCAAACCAAATATTCATCAAAAAAGCTAATGGTGTCTGATTGCTGGTCCAGCGCTGGTATTATCCACTACAGCTTCATGAAACCTGGTCAATTGATTACAGCAGATGTCCGCTGCAACCAGTTGGAAGAAATGATGAGGATGCCTGTGATTAAGCAGCCGAGATTGGTCAACAGAAAAAGGCCAATCCTCTTGCAAGACAACGCTCGACCGCGTGTCGCATAAACAATGCTGCTTAAACTACAGAGGCTGGACTTGGAAACTCTCTGTCATTCACCGTATTCATCAGACCTTGCACCAACTGACTACCACTTCTTCCAGGCCTTGGACCCCTTCTTGCAAGGAAAAATATTCAGTTCTCAACAAGCTGTGGAAAATGCCTTTTGCGATTTCATTGCCACTAGCTCTCCAGGCTTCTTCACTGCTGGCACAAACAAGCTACCATTAAGATGGCAAAATTGTGTCGATAGTTTAAGCACACACTTTGGTCAATTGTACTGCTTCTTGTTTGAGATATAATAAGCTACATCTTTTATTTGAAATCAGACATTTCATATTTAGTAACCCTAAATACTTTAGGGGCCTACTGTTCTACCACAACTCAGAAAGTCTAATTCTAGGCTATCGAGCCCTTTAGAAATTTGATACTGGAGACAAGGATGCTAGGTGACTAGGATGGCCACCTAGACCAATTAACTCACAATCTCCGGGGGTGAAACCCAGTATCAGCAGTAGTTTTAAAAACTCCCCAGGTGATTCCAACATACAGCCATGTTTGAAAACCACTCATAAGGTAGATTTCTCTCATGTTTAACTTCATAGGATACATATGTAAGAAATAACTATGATTTGTCCCATTCACAGTATGGTTGACTGCAAGACAAATGAATGTAAAGAAAGAAGGAAGATACTTGCATGCTCTTCCAAGATAGAGACTTAAACACTGGTTTATTTTTTCTTCTCCATAGTTCATGTGAAGTCTATAGTTAGAAATAGGATGTCTTGAGAAATATATCAAATTAATCACGAGTTTCCTGTTTCTCCTCATTTTAGAATGCTGCTTCTAAATTACCTGGGCAAAACTGGGCCCAAAACTCCTTTGATGGCAGCTGCAACTTTTTCAGTTGGCTGGAATACTTTTGCTTGCTCAGAGTCATTGGAGAAACCGCTGAACTGGCTGCTTTTTAATTACTATTTGACAACCTGTCTCCAGTCTTCAGTTAATAAGTGAGTTATCTTTAAAACTTTAAAACTTGTTGTCTCCAAACATTTTAGATTACATGGCCTAACAGTAAAAAACTTGTAAAGCATAGCATTACTGACACATGTATATTTATTTATACATTGTGTGCATTTACTACTGTACCAAAATGTTCTCTATATTGTAAATGCATACAGAAATTTAAAAAACTTACGTATAAGTTAAAAATATAGATAAAAGTTGTGATGTTTTCTTTCTGAATCCCAGTGGATTGTCTTGTACAACCCCTAAGGTATGTGATGTGCCTCACTTTGAAGATCACTCTCAATTCTGGAAGAGTAAAATCATTAGCATGGAATGAGTTAAGTAATGTTATGAGCTATTTCCTTGGACTTTCTACTTGTTGCTAATCTTCTCAGTACAGAATTCTTTCCTGGGTAGTAAGTAATGTATTAAGTGATTTCAGTGCTGAATGATAGGGCTCCTCAAGCATGTGGGCATGGAATGTTGTAGAGACTTAGGAGAATGCAGCTCACTTAGACATTCTCAGTTCTCACAGTTTCAGGTTTTTTTGTTTTGTTATGTTTTGTTTTTGAGACAGGGTCTCATTCTTTTGCCCGGGCTAGCTCACTGCAACCTCAAACTCCTGGGCTCAATCGATCCTCGTGCCTCAGCCTCTCAAGTGTGTGCCACCATGCCCAGCCAATTTTTCTATTTTTTAATTTTTTTTTTTTTTTTGAGACAGAGTCTCACTCTGTTGCCTGGGCTAGAGTGCCGTGGCGTCAGCCTAGCGCACAGCAACCTCAGATTCCTCGGTTCAAGCAATCCTCTTCCCTCAGCCTCCCGGGTAGCTAGGACTACAGGCATGCGCCACCATGCCCGGCTAATTTTTTCTATTTTTAGTTGTCCAGATAATTTCTTTCTATTTTTAGTAGAGACGGGGTCTCGCTCTTGCTCAGGCTGGTCTCGAACTCCTGACCTTGAGCGATCCACCCGCCTCGGCCTCCCAGAGTGCTAGGATTACAGGCGTGAGCCACCACGCCTGGCCAAAATATTGTTCTTTTTAAGATAATGTTGTAATAAATAAAATATTTTCCACTGTGATAAACAAAAAGCCCTACATATTCATAACTGAGTATCTAAGTGTTTCAGATCAATTCTTAAAACATTTTCTCTGACCCTTATCTGGTCCATTGTAAGAGCTTCAGAACAAACATGACTCAATATTTTGCTTGTTCTCGTTTTTATAACGTGTCCTTCTTATCAAATACACTGTTTTTTGGAGATTATATTACAGTATCTTTGCCCCAAGAGAACACTGTCATCACTTGGTTATTCTTCCTGAGGTTCTTGTACAGAAGAATTTGAACTTTTTCTTCCTTTGTAAACTGAAAGAGAACTTGAGACTTTACAAACACAATGAGCGGAGCATGTTTGGACCAGAAGGTCATATTTGAAGAGAAACAGTCTCTGTTTTCCCCCTGGATACTGTATAAAAGAAAATTATTGCAAAATTAACTTTGTTTTCTTAACTGAGAAATGTGAAATTTGTAACAAAGTTATGTATGCATGTGTTCATACATTGAAGCAATATAAGATGATTAGAAGTAATCATACTAGCTTAAAGATCAATAGACTTGACCTCTATTATAATTTTTTTCTAATGAAATTTCTCAAAGTATTTTATAAAACTTTTTCTCTTTACTTTCCACCTAAATATTATACTT